TCTACTTCTTTTGTAAGTTTGTCACTCTCTTGTGACCTGCTATTTTGGGGTGCCTTGATAGTAATGATAGTCGAAGCAGAGTTTGTGCTGTTGAAGCTAGAGAGGTGAGCAGTCTAAGTCTGATTCTCTGTAAAGACTTCTCTGTTGACACCCACCACTTGGCGCTCATATGACATTATGCAGTTGCGAGCGCCGTAAAACCCTCTACTATTTAAAAAAAACCAACACTCTATCAAACTCGCAAGACTGTACGGAGTTGTCATCAAGATATTCAAAGAATTGCATTCGAAAAAGCTTCTCTCAGAAATTTTCTCACGAGCTGGTACTGGGCAGATAGAACTTTGTAGTTCTAAGGTAGTGAACAATTCTTGAAATAGCTTCCTTATTCGGGAATCGAACTGACATCTTCTGTGGGCAATAGTGAAGAGGGATAACATTTGTTCACAGACGCCAGTGCATCCCCTCCCTTTTTTTAACGCCTTTCCCCTTTCCAAATTTACAAGAAAGAGTTTTAGAATCAACCTTACAAAACATGTAAAGGTTGTTTCAAAAGGGGAACTCTCCGTTTTGTGGATATGAGACGTATGGATGGAGGGAGGAAGACAGGTAAAAGGGAATTAAATAGGGAGGGGTGACAAGAAGAGGAAAGGTAGGATAAGGAGAAAAAGAAGGGATGAAAGAAGGGAGGAAGAAAGGGAAGGGGGAGGAGAGAAGGGAGGGAGGGAGGAAAGGGAGGAGGGAGGAAGGGAAGGAACTAAGGGGGGGGGGGAACGAAGGTAGGAAGGAAAGGAGACAAGAAAAGTGAGGTGAATGACCAAGGAACGAAGGAAGCTAGGAAGGAGAATGAAGGAAGCAAGCTAGGAAAAAAGGAAGGGAGGAAGGAAGGGAGGAAGGGAGGAAGGCAGAAAGGAAAGAAGGACAGAATGAAGGAAGGAGGGAAGGAAAGAAGGATAGATGGGAAAAAAATTGTATAGACGACCGATACACCACAGTATATGCCATATATGCTCTTTCCAGCGTAGTTAATATTCTTCCCTGCTTTTCATCTTTATTGCAGCAGTTGTTTCTCCTGCTGGTGTTTACTCGAAATAATAATAATAACAGTATTGATACTACTACTACTACTGCTACTACTACTACTACTACTACTGCTACTACTACTACTACTACTACTACTACTACTACTACTACTACTACTACTACT